ATTTAGGATGTTGGTCCTCTTGTGCATGCTGCCACTGTTAAGGTCATCAGACTCACAGTGACTTTCAGCAATCCATTCTATAGGTAATCATCTTCTTTGGCCTGTCCAAGGAAACCCAAACCTGCAGATGGCAGGCATGCATCCCATCCCCCACCTCCTACACAGGTGGCCAGTGGGAGGCCAGCGGGAGGCGCGCGCCCCCCCCCCAAGCGCCAGCGGCTGCTGGGGGCGTACCACCCCACCCCGCTGCACGGGCGCTCGGTGTGCGTGCAGCGCCTCTTGTGTGGGTGGCCGGTGGTCGCCCACTTCCCCCACAGCCACCATCCTGGCTCCAAGAATTCTCTCCAAAACAAGTCCACCTTGCGGCAGTGTGGTGGCTTCGCTGTACCAGTCTTGAGGAGGGTCGGTGCCCAGCATCCATCCTGGGTGAGGGAATCCATTTGTTCCAACTGTGGAATCCTCATGGAGCTGCAGTGGCTGTGCAGCGTTGTGTGGGCTCTGCAGGGGACATGGGGTGGGGGGTGTTGGAGCCAGGAGACTCACCCATTTCTCCTTGGGAATCCTTGAATTCCTGTTGTTGAGTCTCGATCTTCACTGAGGGCCAGTCATCAACTGTTTAAGTGTTCAATTATCAATAAGCCAAAGTCTGTGGAAGGTCATAATGGCCCTGCTTTAAGTAGTTCGCTGCTCCCGCAGCTCACCAAACTGTCTCTGCCTCTGCCGCCGTCTTGGATCCCTCCCCCCAGCATGTTTTTGCTAGCATGCTATGCTAATTTTTCCAGTGTTCCAAGGGGGGGGGGGAATAGCATTGCTTATGGGATTTTTTGTAGTTTTTATTTTAGTGAAAGTTTACAAATCTTGTTGAGGGGAAAAAACCACAAATCTTAATGGATTTTTATGTAATCATTTGTGCACATTTTATTTCCTACCATTAACTACAATTGATTAATGTAACCAATTAATCATAATATCTGATCCACTTCTTATTGTATATTGTCTTTCACATAATTATTAATTTTTCTTTCCCTCTCTATCCCTTCTTGCCCCTGTTACCAATTTAAGAATTACTGTGTGTAAACCTTTCCTTAGCTTTTTCTAATAAGTGCTTCTATACTATAAGTGTCCTTTTGTGGCTGAGTTACACCACACAGTAAAATTTGAACTAGATTCACCTATATTTTACAGTACTTAATGACTTTGTAATCATTTTTTAGAGATGCATAATACTCCTTTGCATGAATATATCATGGTTTCTTTACCTCTACATCCATTGATGGTCTGTGGATTGTTTCCATCTCTGCTATTGTAAATGATGCTTAACATTGCTTATGGATACACCTTAGGGAGGGTGTAGTTGGCAGAAAACGTTTATTGTTGCTGTTAGGTGTCATCAAGTCACCTCATAGTGACTCTATGAACAGCAGATCAGAACCATCCCCTATCCTGTGCCATCATCATGAAAACTTATGAAAGATTCATTCCTTATTATAGTTGTTGTTCCCTTTAATCATATACAAAGTATGCTCTTCACAGGAAAAAAAGTCAACAACAGCTATCTCTTACACGTGACAACGCAATTAATTTTAAAATAACATAATAGAGATCTTTTTCAACTATATCCTCTTCTGTAAGTTACCAGGGACATCTTTTTTAGGAGACAAACCATAGCTCTAAATCAAGAATAGGTTAAGTTTACCTCTTAGAACTGGTCTAAACCTTTAGCTACAGCCACTGCACTGCCCCGTGTGTGTGTGTGTGTGTGTGTGTGTGTGTATGACATCGTGCATCACACATACCCCTGAGAGCCTCACAGTTTGATTCCACTCACACTGCTCCTTTAGAGTGTCACAGGTTAACAAGTAGGCGACCTGCACAAAGCGAGACACAGCTATTCAATCTCTTGCCAGACATCGCCCCTTTTGATGCGATGCTACTTATGTATATCTCTGTAAAAAATCCTGCCTGTCTCAGCAGCCAATCAACTTAGAGTATAATTTTGAGGGGGGTGGCAAGATTGTTTTGCTTTATTTTCTTTCTAATCAAGGCGTATAGAGGAGTTGTAGGTTCAGTTGAAGATCTCATGAAGAAACACAATTGAGATTTTTTTTTTCAGTGACAAAATCTGCATATTTTTATTTCAAACAATGTAGCTAAAATTGGATGTAAATTCCTCCTTTTTCCCTTTTTTTGGCTTAATGAATATCATTTGTTTAGTATGAAATCTTTATACTATATGTTCCGTGTGTTAAGAAAACATATACATTAAATCTTAACTAAAACCTGTTGTTGTTCTTGTGTTATTTGGTGCCATCAAGTCATAGATGACTCATAGTGACCCTATGAACAAAAGGCCTGAGCACTGTTCATACATAGAGTTTCCGGAGGCAAGCTATTTCATAAGTGGATGCCATTCCTGCTTCCAGGCTTGTTTTAGTCAGGAAGCTCCAGCAAACACTGTCCACCATGGGTACCCATTACCATGTTTGGCACATCAGTGTCCCAGTGTTCAGCATCACAGCAACCATGAGTTACCTCTGTACAGCAATGCACAAGACCGGTGCTATGCGATACTACCTAGGTTACATTTTTAAAAAATTGAAAACATGGCAAATATACTTTGAAGGAATTTCGTGTTCGCGTGGGCTGCCATGTCAATCCCAACTCATAGTGACACTGTAGAACAGACTTCCCAGGTTTTCATCCTTATGAAAAGAGCTCTGGTGACCTAGTGTGTAACGAACTGGCACTGCCAACCCAGCAGAAGGAAGTTCAAATCCACCAGCTGTTCTGCAGGACAAGGATGGGCAGTCTCCTCCCATTCAGTATACTGCCTCAGAAGACCCACTGGAGGGTCAGCTATGAGTCAGTTCCAACACCATAACATACAAAAACAATAATATTTTACTATTTTTCCTCTTTTTTTGTTTTTAAATTAATAAGCTAGGACTAGCGTTGACAGCATCTGACAACAACAATAATAATCTTCATGGGAACTGATTGCCAGGTCTCCTGGTGGGTTCCTACTATCAGCCTTTCAGATAGCAGCTAAGCATATAACTGTTGTGTAAAACTGTGGGTTCTTAAAGGTAGTTTACTTCTTTATCCCACTGGTCTTGCCAATTTTTAAATTTCCTTGTTATAAAGCTACTTGGAGTCTGCCTGATTGATAATTTCCCTTACATGCAAAAACAGCCAATTGACCACAATATTGAGCCATGCATTTAATATGAATTTCTGCTAAAAGTATATAAATTACCCACTAATTGCCATAGAAGGGAGGCAGCATCGTTTATATTTTTACTGATTTCTGTTCTATTTCATTCATGAATGTTACTGTCCACAGGGCACTCAGTCAGATCTAAAGGGGTGGGGGGTTGTGTCTAAAGATGACAAAGTATTCAAAGTATTCTTGTATTTAATATAATACAAGCAATAGATGTTTAGGAGCAATAATCATTGGGATTTCTGCACCTGAAATCGGGTTTTTATTTTCTCCTTTAGTGTCTGTCACTCAGGAAATGTTTGTCTCCTGCTGTTGATGAATAATTTCAGAGTACTATGGATCATGCTGAAGAAACTGAAATTCCTGTAGCAGCCCAGAAGTACTATGTGGAAAGGCCGATCTTTAGTCATCCGGTTCTCCAGGAACGGCTACACACAAAGGAAAAGATTTCGGATTCCATTGGGGATAAGCTGAAACAGGCATTCACGTATGTTGTGCTGAGCCTATTTTCTCTTCTGACACCACATTTTAAGAAAAGCAAATCTTTCTGGTGGATAAAGTAATGACTGGTGATTGTTGTTCTGTGCTGTCAGGTCACCTGTGACTCATAGCAACCCTATGCACAATAGCCTTAAACCCTGCTCTATCCTGTGCCAATCTTATTGTCTCTTACACACCTACACCCATTGTCCCAGTCACTGAATCAACCCATCTCATTGAGGGTCTTTCTCTTTTGTGCTGTCCCTCCACCCTTCCAAGCATGACATCCCTCTCTAAGGACTGGTCGTTCCTTGCAACTTTGGAAGTATGTCAGACAAAGCTTCAGAATCCTTGCCTCCAAGGAGAAGGTTGGTCTCACTCTCTCTAGGATGAACCTGTTTATTCTCCTAGCAGTCCATGGTAGACAATAACTGGTAGACATTGATAATCTACAGGACAGAACAAGAGTTCAGTTGATGTTAGATGTTTAAATAAGCACAAGCATCAAAATGTCAGTAACCCTATTTATTGACTCCTAATTTAGTTATCTAAAGGAGATCTGGTGGCCTAGTGGTAAGAAACTGTGCTGCATCTCAAAGGTCCACAGTTCAAACCCACCAGCTGCTCCATGGGAGAAGGATGGGAAATCTCCCTCATGCAATTTTCTGTCTCTAAAATCCCACTGGAAGGTCAACTATGCGTCAGCTCTTACTTGATGGCACACAGCAATGACATCTTGTTATCTAGTGCTGCTATAAGAGAAATACCACAAGTGGATGACTTTAACAAACAGAAATTTATCTTCTCACAGTTGTTATTGTTAGGTGCCACTGAATTGAGTCTGACTCACATCCCTAAGACCAGCAGATCTGAATCTTTCCCTACCCCATGCCATCTTCATCAACTCTAATTTGCTTGAGCCAATTGTTAGTCAGTATCAATCTATCTCACTGGGGGTCTTCTGCTCTTTCACTAACCTTCCACCTTTCAAGGCAAGATGTTTTTTTCTAAGGAATATTTAGGAGGCTAGAGTCTAAAGTCAGGGTACCAGCTCTAAGGGAAGAGGGTTTTTTTCTCTCTTTGTTGACTTTAGGGGAATATCCTTGTCTCAGTATTCCCCTCAATCTAGGAGATTCTCAGCACAGGGACCCTGGGTCCAAAGGATGTACTCAGCTCCTAGCTTTTCTTTCTTTATGGTAATGAGTTTTCTCTTTCTCTGCTCACTTCTCTCTTCCATTTTACCTCTTAGAAGGTTAAATGCCATCATAGGAAAAACTCTTTTCATTTGTGTCAAGTCTGTGACTTGAGTAAGATGCTGTATCCCACCCAAAATCATTGGCTGATCACATAAAATTGTGTCACAGTTAATGATTACATCATTATATAACTACCAAATTGTATTATTGCATAACTCCCAAACTGCTGAAAATCATGGCCTAGCCAAGTTGACAGATACTTGGGATGGTTACAATCCATTATATATTTCTGTGTAAGCATTTATGTAAAAAAAAAAAAAACCAACAAATTTTCTACTCATCTTCAAAATATCCACCTTATCTCTGAAATTTTGCAAGAATGTTTCAATCACTCTGTCTTTCTGACCACCCAGACATCTATGCCCTTTATTAAGACACTGAATTTAAGTCTTTGGGTGTCAGGGACCCTCAGCATCCTGTGTCTCTGTATTTTGGAAAATATACAGCTGTGTTGCAGGCCTGAAACGTACTTAGTACACATGGTTCTGATGTTATCCTAGTGATTATTCACAAATTTCAAAACCAAACTATGTGAGTACTGCCTCCTACACATTTAAGACAGTACCTTCTGCACTCTGCAGTCATTTAATCTTCACAATGACCTTGCACACTCATCATTCTCATCAGAAGAGGTTAAAACTGTAGACATACAACAGACTGAGTTTGAATTCTGGTCTCACTATTGATCAGATATATACATAAATTTTCTGCTCTGTAATTGGGGCTAATAATAGTACCCACACTATGAGCTACTGATGCACTAAAAATATGTCATCATATAAAGTGCAAGTAATATGACAAGCACCATGTACGCACAACAAACAAAGAAAACCAAATGGCTATGTTTGAGCCAATTCTGATTTATGATGACCTTTGATCATTTTCCCAAGGATATAAATCTTAATGATAGAAGACTATTCATCTTTCTTCTGAGGCACATCTGTTGGATCTGAACTGATCGTTTTGCTTAGTAGCCCAACTAATAATCCACTGTGCCATCAGGATTCCTTATGTGGTGAGAGCTATTATATTATCTAAACAAGGAGACTAGTTATCAAATAGAGGTTTTTTCACCCAAATTCATTGCTTTTACTACAGATGCCTTATGTTTTGCTTCCAGTGTCTTCCTCTTTCTATCTGACACTCCTAAGCTCTAAAGATAGTATCTAGAATACCATGTATGCTGCAATAATACATTGTCATTTCCACAGCACAAAAGGCTTGCATGTCACCAGGAGAAGCAAGACTATCTTAGCAGTGGTGGAGTCACACCCATCTGTCCATATTTTTGCACACAGGCAAAAGTTTTCTTGACAACATAGGCTAGTAAAAGGGGTGCCTGAGACTCAGAACACAGTCTGTGTGTCAAAGTTAATTGGACTAAATGGAAATTCAGTCCAGGCCTTGATTTTCTTAGTATGGTGGTCTACTTCACCAAGATATCCAACTGACTTGGTCAGTTACTAAAGAGTTTTTTATTTTTTTCCCCCAAAAGCTAAAGCATTGAGTGCATGTTAATAAAACTCATTAACATTTATGTAAATGCTCTTCATCTTATGAAAAGGGAAAATTAAATGGGTACATGCTAGTCAATGGTTCCATATTCAAAAGTTAACTCAACCCATAAATAACTTCACCTACTTCACTTTTATGCTAATGTAAAATCATACAAAGGATTTCATTAACATATCTTCTAGGAGATGAAAGAATAAGAGAGATTCAGTGGGCACCTGAAAAGACAATGTAATAAAAATAAAATGGGCATAGATCAAAAGTAATTAATTATATGCAAAGGCGTTTGACTGTGTGGATCATAACAAACTGTGGCTGACTCTGAGAAGAATGGGAATCCCAGAACATTTAATC